GAGGTCTCCTACACCTCGCCAGTTCTATGATGCGTATAACAACTGTGTGTGCAGCACGTCCGAAGGGAAACGAAAGAAAGAAAGAAAGAAAGGAGAGTAGAGACAGCAGAGTTTCGTCTGGAAGATGGCAGAGGAAGAGGGCCGATGCGATGCCGCGTCATTCTTTGCATGATTTGTACACGCGCAACGCCGCCCTCGTGTGTGCCATTCTGTGCGGCCCGTGTTGTGCCTTCACTCGTCCTGCCTTGCCGCCGTGCTTTCCACGACTGTTCGTACTCCTCTTGCACAAACCGCACATAACATAACGTTTCGAATATTTCAATGCGTCGGGATACAATCGGTATAACGCCCCTCTCTCTCTCACACACACACACACACACACACACTTCTTTCTCTTTCTTTCACCTGGGTGAATAGTGGCTTTCTTTCCAATTCTTTGAAAATCGACGGATAAGAAAGATGGACAAAGAGCGAAGAGATCGCAGCTTATAAAAATCGGTTGATCTTACTTAATTCACGGCGCGACGAATTTCTCTACGAAGGGAAAAGTTTCAACGGCAGAGCAGTTCGGGGAAACCGTAAGGGGACAAGAGAAAGGAAGCTGGCGATGAAAATTGACGAATCGATGCGAAAGAAAAACGAAAACAAGAAGAGAGAAAAGAAATCTCATCTGGCTCACCGTCCGGCAAGCTTATACAGTGATTTATGAATTATTTACACAATGAATTATTCATCGTCGGAAGATTGGTATACTCGCAACACTCGATCGTACCTGATATGCAATTTGAAAAGGAGTGTGCGGCGAGAGGCGCACGATATGCGCGCTTGCGCGCGAAACATTATATTTAAATGCCATATCGTCCAGGATGGATGCCAAGCTCTCGTCCGCATCGATAAAATAACCGACAACCGTCGCAAACTGCTGCCTTCGTGTCGCATTGTTTGTAACGCGCGCGGAGCAAGGGGAAGAAGAAGAAGAAGAAGAAGAAGAAGAAGAGGAAAAGGAAAATGGGGAATTCGCGTTGAAACGCATCGCGAAGGTTTAGGATTGTACGGTTCGATAATATTGTTTCGAAGGAGAATCCGCCGATAGAAAGAATTCTCTCTCTCTCTCTCTGGCAGTTTGCTCCTCTTCTTCTCTACGATCGTTCGTCCGTTTGCTGTTGTTCGACTTTTGTTTTCGATTCAGGTTGCGTCGCGTCGCCTCGCGTGCTTCTCCTTCTCGCGCTTTGCGATAATGACAGTGCGGAGCGCGAGCAAAGTTCGTCCATCCGGCTATTAATGCGCGTAATCATAGAGTCAGGGCCGTCGGTGTTAATAATGCGTTTTCGAATCTGTCAGTGCGAGAACCAACACCCACACAGCCGGTCGATAGATAGCGCGTCGTCATCGTCGTAGCTGGCGTGCACGATGAAAAATCTTTCCATGCACGTTCGCGCCCGTGCCGCCTAGTATTTTTTATTCCGGCCAATCGCAGCGTCGCGGCCTCGCGACTCGCAAACGCACGCGCACGCGCACGCCTTCTGCTCTCGTTTTTTTCCCCATTTGTTGTCCAATTTGCTCATTTTCCATTTCCTTCACTTCTCTCTCTCTCTCTCTCTCTCTCTCTCTCTCTCTCT